CCCCATGGGATAAAGGTGAGGATTTCTGCTGCTGTAAAGAGTTACCTATACAGGGTCTCTATGAGTTGGCACAGACTCCACAGCACACCACCACCACCAGACTGGCTCTGAAGTTTGGAACAGAGACTCAAGAATGCTAAGCATATCTAATCTCACATAACATGTTATGTCTATTTCCCTAGGCTAGTAAGGAAGACCAATGCTGCCAATGAGTTATACCCCAAAAGCAACCTAGAGCTGACTCAGCCTGAGCCATCCACCCTGACAAGTCGATGTATCGTGTAGATGCCACCACTAGCCCAGAAAGGAAACACACAAACAACTGGCCAGCACAAAGATGCCTCTGTCCCATTTAACCTACATTCTAAGCAGGCCTTTTTCAAGCCCCTGCAGAAAACTAATATACCCTCAACCCCACTCCCAGGCCAAGGCTTCCTCATGCTTGTGTGAGGCTAGCCTTGGTGGAAAGGCAAATGAAAAACCAACCCAGATAAAGATGTCAAAGCACAGAATCTCAGCAGAGATGGCTCTAACATGTCCACATCACAGTAAGCAGCTGCTTCTGTAGTTCTGATTTCTGCCGATCTCATGAAAAGGAGACTTCCTCAGAAGCATTCTCAATGGTCAGAGAACATCTTGGTATCCATAACATTTTGGACTGATGTTAAGGAGCCAGCCAATGAAAACCCTATTCAATTTGCAGCCAATTATGGAGATGATGCAGACACATGCAGCATTTTGTTCCATTGTGCAGAAGGTCGCCATGAATCAGGGACCAACTCCATAGCATCTAACACCAAGCAGCAAGCGGGACAATTTGCTTTTGTGTCTAAAATTGCTTTGTTTGTGGTAACACCTGAATACTACAGACTGGCTTTAGGAACAAAAAGCATGCTTTTCTGGCTCTCGGTAAGGTGTCTATTCATCACCGTCCAGTTACACTGGCATTGGTTACATCAGTGAATATTTAGTGTTTTGCTCTCTGAAAGCATTTTTCTGGAAACAGCACGAGACAAAGACAAATCAAAAGGCACTTGAATTCATCTGTCACTTCACTCCTCAGACTCCAGCTTCCCCCATGGAGGAAAATTAGCAAAATTGATTAATGCTTTAAAATTATTTTGTTACCTTCCTACAGGGTCAGTTGGTAATAAACTTTAGTATCTGGCCCTTCTTCTAGCATTGTTATATCCCAAAGGTAGTACCCCACATAGCAAAGTTGTGTCGCCCAGATTCATTTTTCCCAGGGTTGTAGACGCAACTCAGTTGACATTATAGGGAAGCAACTCCCTGGATGTTTCTGTCTTCTGTGTTTTTCAAAGGGTCTAGAACATTTGATGTTCTGACTTGATGGCTCTGGGAAGGCCAGAAGAAACCGAATTCAAAAGCTTTCAAGGAGTTAGTTGGCTAGGTTATGAGTAATCTTCAATTTCCTAAATGTGATATAAATGAAATTCTCTACAAAGTAACTTCTATACAGAAATAGTGAGCTCAAAAGAGTGAGGGATGACTGACTCAGAGGCCCTGTGACTTTTTGTTTGGTTTCGTTTTTCTCATGTGTCATGGAAGCAAGAAGGACTGTAGGAGGAAAAAAAACCTCTTAAAGCTAACAAGAACAACAAATCCATCTCTGTAGGGTGATGCTAAAGTACTCTAGAGTGGACTTGCCTTTCTAAATATAAATATATTTGAAAACTGACTGTCCTTCTTGTTGTTATTAAGCGCTAGGTTGCGAGTCCTAGCAACCCTCTATAGAAGTCTTGGTGTGGCACTGTGAGTTAATGTGCTGGACTCCAAAGTCAGTTTGAACACAAGGTTGCCGGTTCAAGCTCACCGGTTGTTCTTTGGAAACCCTATACAGGGTCACTATGGGTTAGACCTGACTCAATGGCACTTAATAATAACAACAACATAGAGTTTTTGAAGAGTGGTTGGTGAATTTGAGCTGCCAACCTTGCGGTTCAAACAGACTGTGCAGTTGAGTGCTTATTCTAGAACACCATCCTGTCCTTGAAGACCCCCGGACTCCCCTTTTGAAGAGGTTTGAGTCACACAGGGACAAATAATTGGGCTGGAGCAACTGGTCCCTTGAAAATTCCAATCAGTGATGTGCTAATTAATGCTTAATCACCTGCTGGATGGGGCAGGACCCCAATTTGTAGCATTTGCCAACTTCCATGGTATAAATTTCTCCATAGTAACACAGGAACCTTGGTAGCATAGTGGGTTACAAGTTGCGCTGATAACCAGAAGGTTAGTAGTTCAAATCCACCAGCTGCTCCATGGAAAAAAGATGAGGCTTTCTTCTTCCTTAAAGATTTACTACCTTGGGGAACCCTATACAGACTCCTGGTGTGGCACTGTAGGATCAGCACATGACATCAAGCCACAAGGTTGGCAGTTCAAACCTACTAGTTGCTCATAAGAAACCCTATATAGGGTTGCTATGAGTCAGAACCAACTTGAAAGTACAACAGTCTCATTAGGGTGTCTTCCATAAAAAGGATATTATTTTTGTGCCCTGGAAAAAAACGATTTTGTGATCAGGCCTTATATCAAATTTTTAACTAACTCAAGTAGAGATCTTCAATAATCATTGAAGATTTCCAACAAGTTTATAGGAATGCTGTCACATAGAGACCAACAGTTTTTACATGTACCAAGCATTTTCAAGAAAGTCAATAAGATTTCAAAGATGAGTAAAGACAAGAAAGACTGTCAGTCTCAATGAATGAAGAAAACTGTGGCTCAGGTCCAAAAACTGGTGGGCAAGGGCCAAAACATTCCCACTTATGTAATAGCTACTGAAGTTGGAGCTTACATGGTTGGGTATTCTCAATTTTAAGTGAACATCTTGGCTTCAGCATGCTTTCAACTTGATGGGTGACAAAAACATGACAAGAAAATCAGCTAGTCAAAGAGTTGCTCTTTCCTTCAGTCTTTGAAGCAAGATGATTTTGTGGAATGAATGGTAACCAGGGATGAGCCTGGGATTTACCAGTATGATCCAGAGAGCAAGGTCCAGTCAAAGAACTGACCTCCAAGGTGATCTGCCAGGCCAATTCAATTCAAGACACAGAGGTTAACTCAGAAGGTTTGGAGATGGTTTGTTGGTGCCCCCACAGGGCAATTTTGATAGAATTTCTCTAGGAACACAGAATAATTATGGGAGCTTAGTATGAAGAAAGTATGCAAAAACTAGACAGTGAATAAGGAAGACCATAAAAGAATTGATGCATTTGAGTTATGGTGTTAGAAGAGAATATTGAAAGTGCCATGGGCTTCCAAAAGAACAACGCATCTGTGTTGGAAGAAGTACAGCCAGAGTACTCTTTGGAGGCCAGGATGGCCAGACTTCATCTCTCATACTTTGGACATATTGTCAGGAGGGACCAGTCACTGGAGAAGGATATTATGTTTGGTAAAGTAGACGATCAGAGAAAATGAAGAAGACCCCCAGTGAGATGGCCTGGCAAAGTGGCAGTATCAATGGGCTCAAGTGTGGTAACAATTGTGAGATTGGCCCAGGACCAGGCAGTGTTTCGTTCTGTTGTGCATAGGGTCACTGTGAGTTGGTACCAACTCGATGGCACCTAATAACAACAACAGTATGAAGAAAAGGAGCTCTGGTAGCATAGTGTTTATAAGTCGCTGCTAACCTCAAAGTCAACAGTTCTGCAGGAGAAATATGAGGCTTTCTGCTCCCATAGAGATTTACAGCCTTGGAAACCCTCTACAGGGTCGCTATGAGTCAGAACCAACTCCACGACACATAACCACCACCACCATCACCACCAGAATGAAGAAGCTTTAAGAAAAGTGAAAACTTCATTGGTGAGAAAAGGGCCAGGAAAGTTGCACAAAGAAATTTTATTTCTATCATGACATTGTGCCTGCCAGGACAGTTAAGAGCTGTCATATGAGAATTTCATTGGGAAACCTCACCCCTGATCTTACCCCTTCAGACTTCTTTTTGGTCCCAAACTCAAAGAACATTGGAAAGGAGGGTAATTTGAGTCCTTCAAAGTTGCCCAAATGGCCATTTTAACATGGTGTAACTCATAGAGCCCAGAATTCTTTAGGGAAAGATTAGAAAGATGGAAACACTGCCTTCGGTAGTGTATAGACCTAGACGGAGGAAATGTTGAGAAACAGTAGCTTCACATTGTGATATTTTTGTTTAATAAAGGTTAATATGATTTTGTAATACTTTTTTACCTACTTTCATATTTAAAATGTATCTAGTCCTGGATGGTGCGAAGGGTTAATGTGCTCAGTTGTTAACCAGAAGGTTGGATGTTAGAGTCCACCCATCAGCACTTCAGAAGAAAGGCCTGGCTGAGGAGAGTTCGGCATTCAAAACCCTATAGAGAATAATTCTGCTCTGACGGGCATATCTGCCAAGGCAACTGGTCTAGTTTTGTTTTGCTATTATTATTGTTACTATTATTTACACTACTGCTGTTTCTATAACAACCTGAGTGGAAGAAGGATTTTGATTTCTCTTGTAAAGAAAAGGAGCAGAATGAGAATTACAAAAACAATTGATTTAACTGTAATAGCATTCCATTTGCATGTAAGTAATCCATCCCTAATTGTACAATTCATTCTGTTATTAACATTTTAAAATCACCTACATGAAGGCACTCTAGTTTTATTGAGAATTTTAAGTGTTAGGGCATCGGCAGTAATGCTGATTTCTCTATTGCCTTTCCCTGGAAAGAGGCCAAACTGTGGCCTGTGCCCCTAGGCACTCATTCAGAGTTCATTAAGCCCCTCTGCTGTGCCAAGAGCAGTGCCTGGCATGTATGCCTGAAGCAGGGGCAGGCAGTGCAATATCCACAAGGGAACACAGTCTTTCTGAAATCAGCCAAGCAGAAAAGACAGCCATGATTGAATGCTCAAGACAGTGTCATACAAATTTCACCTTAGCTTTTCTACCTACCATCAAAAATCTCTGCTCACCTGCATTTCTATGCTCTTTCCTTCTTCTCTACCAGACTTCAGACCTTGTGGAGGTTCCTGAAGAAGCTGATGGTACAGGAGGTGGATTCGACCTAAGGAAACGCAGCAACAGTGGTAAGGGAAGAGGGAGTCAGGTATTATCCCAGGACAGGTATAAATCCTGTTAATCATTAAGGGCAGCCAGTAAGTGAAGTACATAGCTCTTCAAACCCTGAAATTCAAGCTAGACAAGTGTTCGGTATTCTGGTAAGGAGCTGGTCATAGCTTACAGTCGGTGACTTGACTATAGAGGTAGTCTCTGGGTTATGAACATCCAACATGTGGACTATTCTGTGGAGACTATAAATCTTTCTGTGGGCAGACAGCCTCATCTTTCTCCATCATAACAGCTGGTAGTTTTGAACTGCTAACCTTGAGTTTAGCAGCCTGCCTTGTAACCACTACACTACCAGAGCTCTCGGAACCAACCCCTCCTCACAACAAATTTCTCAGCATAATCACCTTCACTTGGTGCATGTGCAGCTTTTAAATCACTAGAAAAGGCTGAACCTTTTCTTGCACTATAAAAACCCACTCGATTCACATTCTTACTCACCCAAAAGGACAGGCTATAGCTGCTCCCTCCATAAGGTTTCTGATACTGTCAGTCTTCCCAGGAACAGACAGCTTCATCTTTCTCCTGTGAAACAGCTGGTGGCTTTCAACTGCAGACCTTGCAGTTAGCAGCCCAAGGCTTAACCCACTGTGCCCTAGGACTCCTCTTCTTGCATGAAACCAAACTTCTATAGAGTTGATTCTGACACACACACACAGGGTTTTCAAGACTATAAATCTTTACAGGAGCAGAAAGCCACATCTTTCTCCTGCAAAGCGGCTGATGACTTTGAACTATCAACATTGTGGTTAGCAGTCCAGTCCTTACCCTACATCACAGCCACGACTCCTTTTCTTACACTAAAGCAAGGGTAAGGAACTTTTCTTTTACTGAAATTTATAACATCACTCGTGAGCCATATAAAATTATCAACTTAAAAATTAGCTTGCTATATTTGGTCAAACATTTCATTAACTCACCCCTAATTGCACTGCTAACCACACGGTCAGCAATTCAAATCTACCAGCTGCTCCAGAGGAAAAAGATGAGGCTTTGTGCTCCCGTAAGGATTTATAGCCTCAAAAGCCTCATACAGAGTCACTGAGAGTCGAAACCAACTTGACGACACTCCACCACCACCAATGAGATGGCTGTAACTGTGGTTGCCTTGGCAGGGGTCAGAGCAAATCATTTCACTGGCTTTATATGGCCCACGAGCCAGATATTCCCCACCCCTGCAACTAGAGTAAGGTTAAATAAGAACCACGTGCACTTGTTTCAACTTACCCTACAAATTAAAATTAAAGATTTACTTGGACTTAAAGATACATTTAGGAATGGATTTCATTCATAACTTGGACTGTTTATAGTATTCTGTGTCTTAACTTCTCGCACGTCCTAGATGCAGCTCCATTGGAGTTGAGGAGTCACTTTTAGAACTTTTTGCTAATGTATCATTTTCTCTGCGGACCTAAGTTAAATTAGCAAAACTTACCACAGAGGAGTTACTTCATTCACGCCTGAGGTAACTGGACACAGGTGTGGGTGATGCCAGTTTAGGGAGCGTAGACCTCACACCTGCCTCCTTCCCTCGAAGAGATCATACAACTCAAAAATTGATATGCACAAAACAGCCAAACATTCTTTATTAATATTATTTGACCTTATTACAGGACCAGGCAATGTTTAGTTCTATTATACATGAAGTCATCATGAGTCAGAGCCCGCTTGATGGCAACTAGCATCAACAGTCTTGTTCTAACTTGAAAAGCTCTTGTTAAGATAACATAAATCACATGTTGAATGCTAACTACATACTTTTTTGGGGTGATGGGGGCAGAAGGAAGGAGTTAGGGTTAGTACTATGAAACTATGCCTAGGTATAGGCAGGGCCTAGCACTTGGTTTAGTGTTATGGTTATAGTTAGCACTAGGGTTAACTATATGCTGAGCAAATAATCCGACAAGCTGGGTTCTATGAAGAAAAACGTGGCATCAGGATTGGAGGAAGACTCATTCACAACCTGCGACATGCAGATGATACAACCTTGCTTGCTGGAAGTGAAGAGAACTTGAAACATTTACTGATGAAGATCAAAGAGCACAGCCTTCGGTATAGATTACATCTCAATGTCAAGAAAACAAAAATCCTCACCACTGGACCAATAAACAACATTCTTATCAATGGAGAAAAGACTGAAGTTGTCAAGGACTTCATTCTTCTTGGATCAACTATCAACACTCATGGAAGCAGCAGTCAAGAAATCAAACGACGTACTGCATTAGGCAAATCTGCTGCACAGGAACTTTTTAAAGTGTTGAAGAGCAGAGATGTCAGTTTGAGGACTAAGGTGCGCCTGAACCAAGCCATGGTATTTTCAGTAACTTCAAATGCATGTGAAAGCTGGAGAGTGAATAAGGAAGACCACAGAAGAATTGATGCTTTTGAGTTATAGTGTTGGAGGAGGATATTGAAAGTGTCATGGGCTGCCAAAAGAACAAATAGATCCATTTTGAAAGAAGTACGGCCAGAGCATTCCTTGGAGACCAAGATGGCCAAATTTCCTCTCTCATACTTCAGACATATTGTCAGGAGGGACCGACCAGTCACTGGAGAAGGATATCATGTTTGGTAAGGTGGAGGGTCAGAGAAAAATAGGAAGGCCCCCAATGATATGGACTGGCCAACTGGCAGCATCGATGGACTCAAGTGTGGCAACAGTAGTGAGGTTGGCCCAGGATCGGGCAGTGTTTCGTTCTGCTGTGCATAAGGTCACTATGGGTCGGTACTGACTCGATGGCACCTAACAACAACAACGGGATTAACATTAGGGGCAAGGTTTGGGCCAGAGCTAGAAGTAAGACTTGGTCTAGTTTTAGAATTACAGTGTTTCTTGAAATCTACTTGATTTCCCCTTCTTTCAGAAGTTCTATAATTACATTATTCCCTCTTTCTACATTTTTGTTGTTGTATCTCTGGTTCCCTGTTTTCAGTCTTGAAGGTCTATTTTATTTGCATATTTCTATATCTGACTTGAGTTTTGGGCGAGATGATCATGTGTGTTAGTATCAGATTTTTGTTTCCTTTTATTAGTTCTCTGTCCAAAGAACTCCCTTTAGTGTTTTTTGTATGGTTGGTCTGATTTTTTCCAAATTTTTTCAGTTTCTCTGGAAATGTGCCACTTTCGTCATCATATTTGATGGGCAGTTTTTCTAGGTTTATGATTCTTGGTTGGAAACCTTTTCATTCAGAGTTTTATACATCATTCCATTGTTTTCTTTCCTTCATGGTTTCTGCTGAGAAATCAGAGTTTATTCTTATTAGTTCTCCTTTGAAGGTAGTAACTTTGTTTTTCCTGAACTGCTCTCAGGATTTTTTTCCTTGTCTTTGGTTTAGAAAAGTTTGATTATAATATGTCTTGTTGATTTTCTTTGGGGGGGTCTATCCGGTTTGGAGTTTGTTTAACTTCTTATATGACTATCTTCTCATCTTCCATAATGCTAGGGGACTTTTCTTCCAACAATTCCTGCACAGTTTTCTCTGATTTTATTTTTGTCTCTTTCTGTTCTAGAATTCCAATCCCATGTGTTATTCCTTTTGATAGTGTCCCACATAAATCTTAGACTTTCTTCAGAATTTTTAAAAATTCTTTTTTTAAAATTGTTCCTTTCAAAGACCAGTATTTCTCAGTATTAGTTGAAGATTTGTCTTCAAGCTCACTGATTTGGCCTTCCATTGATTCAATTCTACTGATTTGCCCTTTCAATGTATTATCTATTTCTGAAGTGTTTGTATGAATCTTCTGAATTCTAGTTGCTGTTTTTGTAAAGTTTCCAATTATTTATTTTGTCAGTTTGTTCCTGTCGTGTTGTACTGAATTCTTCCTTGCTTGTGTTGATCTCTTGCTTAATTCATTGAAAGTACCTATACAGCATTCTTTTAAATTCCTTATCAAGTAGTTCCGATTCTCTTTCTAGTATTATGTTTTCTGGCTCTGTATTTTGGCCACTTGTTTGAGGCACTCTGTCTTGTTTCTTCATGGAAGCTGATATTATCTGTTTTTTCCAAGACATTGTGGTAGAATTGTATTTATATCTGATGATTATATGTTAGTGTGTTCTCAGGCACTCACTGTGATAGAGACTGGAAGTCTCAACACAGTTCTCTGTTCACTGTTTATGTAGCATAGTTCAGGGTAGGTTCACGTATCTCCAGAAGGGATGATGTTTCCAGCACCGAGCCCCAGCCAAAGCTATACAGAAAGGGGTGCCATTGGCCTAAGGCCTGGCCATGCTCCCAGCTACCAGGAAGAAAAAGGAAGAAGGGAAAACTGCACCCCACCTTGTCCCACCTGCAGCTGCATCCTGTGCCTGCAGGTCACTGTACAGGCAGCTGCTTGCAAAAGGTCAAGATAGTTGAGCTGTTCTATGCCAGCTGACAGCTCCCCTCACTAACTACATACTTTTGCTTGCTAACACTTAGAAAAACAACATAAACCAGAGTGTAAAGAAGCATCATTCTTGCTGAGCCTTTTTGACATCAACAACTACTTAATTTTCATTCATCTAAAACAACATGTATTAACATGTACTATTGCTAACAATGAAGTCCTGGTGTGATGTTGTAGGATAAACACTGGACTGCTAACCACAAGGTCAGCAGCTCAAACCCATCACCCGCTTCTTGGGTTGCCATGAGACAGAACCAATTCAATGGTACTTAACAACAACAACATCACCAGCTGTAGGTCACAAGATCTTTCTCCAGGCTCCTCACCGTCTAGTGAGATTGCAGGTCCTCGCTTGTGCTATTCACTTGAGCTGAATGCATTCTGTTGGCAGCGGTTGTCATCTTCCAGCTTCCATCCCTGTGAACTGAAGCATGGAGAAGCACTGCCTTTAGAAAGATCTTCCGTTTGACTAGTTGCCCTTGCCTCTTTCAGAAAAGAAGAAAGCAGACATTCTACATTAAATTCTCTGTAGCTCTTTTATTATGGATTATTTTTTTTTTTAGGTGATGTAATGGGTAAACTATTGGGGGAGTAACCAAAAGGTCGACAGCTCAAACCCATCCAGAGGTACCTCAGAAGAAATGCCTGGTGATCTGCTTCCAAAAGGTCACAGCCAGGAAAACTTTACAGATTCCAGTTCTACTCTAACATGCATATGTCACCATTAGTCAGAATCAACCCGTAAGCAATTAATTTTGTTTTTGTAGGGTTGTGTTGTTTGTGTTTCAGGTTTTAGTTAGAAGATAGCTTACATGGTATCATTTCTACTTTCTTCATTCCAGCAATTTATTTTTGTCTCTTTTCTAGTGAGAACTATGACTCTGTGATTCCCAGAAAGCAGCATGTTCTTAGCTTCCCTCTGCAACTATTCTTCCTAAATACATGTCCATGTTCATCAAGGCTCCCCTTGCCAAGCCCACACACATCAGATAAAGCTCACCACTAGGGTAAGGATTCTTGGCCTCATATGGAGAAAAATGTGCTTTCAGATCGATGCAAATATTCGTGGAGCACTTAGCAAGCAGTGCTATTAGGGAGACATGCTGACTGCCAGGCGGAAGATCTCTGTGAAGCAGTAACACAGCTGGGCTAGCCCAGCCCAAGTCTGCACAGTGTTGCAGGGCCAGCAACTGAATTTGGTCAGCGACTCCAGAGTTCTTCAGGGTGTGAGGACCTAACTCATCCGAGAATAACATGTTAAACAGACTGGCTGTTTTACTTCTTCCATTCTGGTCAGACCCTAACTCCCCTGAGTCTGGCTTCCACCTTCATCCTAATCCTGATGGCCTTCTCAGCAGCACCACAGATGGCCTCCTTCACCAAAATGGCACTACTGGACACATGAGGTCTCTGATCCATCCTTGCTCTGGAGGCCAACTCCCTGGCTTCATTTAATGATCCTGTGTCCTTAAACAATGATTTAGTCTCTCTCCTCCTCAGTCACCTTATATCCAAAAAGAAGATAAGAATAGCATTGAATCCATGGTGTCACTGTGATCTTTCAGTAAGATAATAGATGTCAATATCATTCAGACATCGATAACTTCCAGCTTCATCTCTAGCAAAGGAAAGGGGAAAAGATGGATGAAGATAACTTCAACTAAAGCCCACAGTCTGCAGTGCTGTTTAATCACAGAGGGGGAAGGCTACTTCTTGCCATGGGAATTATCCCCGACTTCCTGAAGGGGATAATATCTGAACTTGGCTTTGGCTTATGAGTGAGTTTATATAGGCATTTATGGATGGGGACCAGAGAGAAGCTGAACATTGTGGCATCGGAAACAGCATAAGAGAACACCACAGTGGAATCAGAAACATATATGGAATTTGTTTAAAGCAAAAAACAGGGGAGGGGCAAATAGTGTGGTGGACCTGAAGATTAAGTTCTGTAAGGAAAAGATTAGAAAAGAGAGGCCGAACTATATTCTAATAACATACTTTATACTGAGCTCCGTGTTGAGCATTGGCCACTAATTTCAGTTCTGTTGATGTTGATTCATTTAGTAGTCATGATCTCCTACCCTAGGAATTTCTTCTCTCTAAGTGGTTATGAGTCAGGCTGCTAACCTCAAGGTCAGCATTTTAAAACTACCAGCTGTTCCGTGGGAGAAAGATGAGGCTTTCTGCTCCCGTAAAGATTTACAGCCTAGAAAACCCTATGCAGAGTCACTATGACTCAGAGCCAACTCTACGGCACACCACCACCACCACCATCACCATCACCAAACAAAGGTCTTAATGGGATTTTTTATTATTAAGAGCCATGTTAAGAAACCATTTGTTGAAACAAGATCATATTAATAAAGTCATCATAAGGTCATAAGAAGCAGAGAATCAACTTAGCGCCTCATGTACAAAGTGTGATTCATGGACCAGCCGCCTAGGCGTCACTGGGAACCTGTTAAAAATGGAGACTCCTAGCTTGTTCCAGACCTGCAGCATCAGAGTCTTTGTAACTCGTGTAATTCTACAGTTTATATGCTCACTGAAGTTTGGAAAGTATGATTGGACATCATTTAGTCTAACCCCCTTCCCTCCCACACACACATATACACATGCACCACACATACCATACAGATACAGCAGCTGAGGCTCAGGGTAATTTACTCAAAGATGCTATGTTGCTTATTTGCTGTCTCCTTTATGTTAAACTTCAAGAACTATTGAAGCATTTTCACAATCTTATTCAAAGATATCCGTTGAAAGGACTTAGCAAGGAATACATCTCTTAAAAGCTTTGAAGATCTTTTAGCAAATCCTTTGATCAGCAGTAGCTTTCTTTGCAATGCCTCCTTAGAAGTTAAAGGGATTAATTATGCAGGAGTTTGCTTCAAAAAAACATTTTCCTTTGATTGGTTTTAATCCCCGTGTCCATGCAGTTTAGAAACAACATGGAGAACACACTCGACTAATGTGGTCCAAGTTCCCTCAGCTCTCCTTGAGTTCTGATTCCGGCCTGAACCTCTGGAAGTTCTCTGTCAATGTATGATTGTAGCCATTTCTGTATTACCTTTAGCAAAACTTTACTCGCATGGGATATCAAAAAGATTTTAAAGGTTTCAAATAATCACATAATACGAGGTAGAAGTGACACTGATCTACATGCGTTTAAAACTGATACACACCAGGTTGGTAGACACCAAAGACTGAAACAGACAAGGCCTGTAATTGGACCTTCCTTTCCCATCTGCCCATAAACCAGAGCTCCTTCGGGAATAATGGCATTGCTTCTGTAAGCCCTAGAACTATAAACTGCAGAGTGTAAATATTTGATAAGCACTGGTACATTTACAGGGGCTGCTATTCCAAAGCATGTTTTCTAAATCATGGAGTTAATGACTATATGTATATTTTAAGGACAATGGAAATTTTCAGTATATTAACAGAAATGGATTATAGATTATGCTTCCCTTTTGCTTATATTTCCTTAACAATATGAAAGGAAATCAAGAGGCAGAATAGAGTGGCAATATGTTATTTTAAAATGTGAACTTAACATAAACACCACAACTGCATTATATAGAAACATTTACCACATTTTTGTTTGAGGAAAATATATCTTTATATATTCATTTTTATATGTATACATATTATTATTAGGATAGGATAGGATAATAAAACATAGACTAACTGATCTTTGATTAGTATAGTATAGAATGGAAGTATTGTTTTGTGCAGTGAGAATGATAAGGCTATTGGTTGTTGCAGTAGATCTGACTGATCAAACTAGCTAAGGCAGAGCCCCTGTAACTTTTAGTGAGTGTGTATGTGAACAGTACAAAATCCTTGCCCAGTTTGAGAAGACTTGTTCTGTAATGAAGGATAGCAAAATGGCTGTTTAAATGCAGAAGAGAATTATATATCCCAAGAGCAAACTAAAAGAAAATCACTGTGTAATTTTTGTATTCTAAATAATAGCACCAATCCATTGACAAGAAGATATCAAGGAAATAGTTTTAAGTTTAAGACTAAAGTTTTTTATGGCTGTAGTTGCTCAAAATACCAACCGAGGGGGAAGGAGTAGTCTTCACATCAAGGATCAAACCTGTCCCCTCAATTCACAGTGTTGATAGGGATGCGCAACTTAGACATCAGCTACCTAAAAAGTGGGGGGGAGGGACTTCTAAAGGCATGAAAGGAGCTCTGGTAGCATAGTGGTTCACGTTGGGATACTAACCTCAAGGTCAGCAGTTCAAAACTACCAGCTGTTCTGCAGGAGAAAGATGAGACTTTCTGCTCCTGCAAAGGTTTACAGCCTTGGAAACCCTGTACAGAGTCACTCTGAGTCAGAAACAACTCCATGGCATATCACCACAACCAAAAAGGCATGAAGTGGCTGGCTTACAAGTTTTCAAGAGTGTGCTTAGTTTCAGAGCAAGGGGAGTGGGTCGAATCCCCACTAAATAGTTTTCATCTTGTCTAGATGGGTCTTGTGAAAGGGGATGGTGGAGGATGGGAATAGGATTGCTTTGATTCAATAGTGAGTTATTGTTATCATGACTAATTGTGATTCTCACCACTGTAAAGGTAGAAGATGTGTAACAAAAACAGGGAAGTAGTTAATCAAAAAAGCAAAAAACATTAAAGCCTTATTCTGCAAAGTAAAATATAGATACCACTAAGAAACGAGAATCAAGATACTGAATACAGATCAAAGAACCTGGCATTTAGAAAGAATAATTCACTCACAATTGAATTCGGTCATGCCTCCCCCACCATCCTATTAACAAATGATTTAATACATTCAACAAAGATGAGTGCCATGGCTTCTGCCCATGAGAAGAACAATGCCAAATGAGGCCACATTTTGAGCACACAATTGCCAAACAGTGCAGCGGGGTGTTAGTTTGGAGGCATGAACAGAGTGGAAGCACAGAGAAAGTGGACATAGGACTGCATAGGGAGACAGGGGAATCTCTATCAAGAAGATGACATGAAGGTTGTGTCATAAAGGATGAGGTAGAGGTAACACACACCCAAATAAAAGTTATGCTTTGTGGAATAAATCAAGTAACATCTTTCAGGCATATTTCCCAAACATGGTGACAGAGTTCATGAAGTTACTGGTTTCTCTTGTCTCCTTCAGTGTTTACGTATCCAGAAAATGGCACTGACGATATCAGAGACCAAGCAAAGAACTTAAACCACCAGGTAATTATGGGTGTCACAGCAGACAAACCCAGGCAGGAGTCCTGAGATCAAACTGCAGATCATAAGCCAAATGGATCATGAAATTAATTTAAACTAGCATTTTTAAAGAAAAGCTATAATAACTTGCATAACATACCAAAGCGTGGATAGTATGGAATAAAATAGAAATATCATACTATGTGAAATATAGATTAGTATTGTTTTGTGCAACTTATGTGTCAGTTGTATATGTTACACACAAGTTAATACATTTTATATAATATTAAAAGTGTATATTGCAGGAGCTTCAAAAAGTTTGTGGAAAAGTTCCATTATCTTTTCATTCCATTTTCCACACATTTTTGAAACCCCATTGTATCATAACTATATTTTATGATATTTAAGTCTGTATCTATTACCTTTACACATTCATTTTTATCTGTATAGATAATATTAGGATAGGATAGAATAATAAAGCTTAGGGTAACTGATCTTTAATTAGTATAGTATAGAATGGAGTAGATAAAAAAATAGTAAAAAGGTAAAAATAATACAGAGAGTTGT